TAATAAATAATCATAATTTTCTTAATATTCTTGGTATAGTATTTTTTATCAAAACACTAGTAGAACAGAGGTAGACAATTAGTATTAATCAACAAAATTGAAAAATGATCTCTAAGGAGGATAAAATTGAAAATTTACATTTAGATTGAATGAAATGCATATACATAAACAATGTAACTATCCGTATTGTCACATTTTAATATCTCAATGTTTAAATAATGAAATCAAATCAGCATGATAATTATACATAAATATTTTAATCAACAATTTTGTTCAAATTTCTGATTAAAAATCCTACATACCGGTTGAAATTTCATACGTAAAGTTCATATTTTTGTCTATGTCATCATTGTACGATAGACTCTACGTATTGGATTTTGGCCACCACATTAAACTTTTTTTTATCGAAAATTTGAATAGTATTCTTGGTTGAAACATTTACATATATTTATAATATTGGTTTATTTCAATTAAGAGTTAAAGTACCGAATGCAACAACTATACCACCACCATTGTTTTTAGTTGCAACATTAAATTTTACTTTGATTAAATTTTATTTATTAATGTATTATAAATTATTTTTTTGAAAAATATTATTAAATTTTTCTCATTTTAAATTTTACAAATCTGATTTTTAGTTTTTTACTAATAATACATGCAAGATATTAATGATCAAACATGACATTAAACTTTTTTGATCGAAAATTTGAATAGTATTGTTGGTTGAAATATTTACATATAGTTATGATATTGGTTTATTTCAATTAAGATTTAAATTACCAAATGCAACAATTATACTACTACCAATTATTGTTTTTAGTTGCAACATTAAATTTTACTTTGATTAAATTGTATTTATTAATGTATTATAAATTACTTTTTTGAAAAATATTATTAAATTTTTCTCACTTTAAATTTTACAAATCTGATTTTTTTTTAATTTTTTTACTAATAAGAAATGCAAGATACTAATGATCAAACATGTATGTTGGCAACCATGAAAACTAAACTGTTGCAACTAAAAATGAACGGAGGAAGTAATATTTAAATACTACATCCGTCCCGAACAAGTTTGTCATGCCGACTTTTCTTGATCAAAGATGACAAACTTTGGGTATTGATTTTAATTATTATATTTATATACTGCATATATAAATTTAATGCTTTATAAATTTTATATACTATTTATAAATTTTATGCTTTCATGAATTTTTTTTTAGTTAAAGAAAATTTTAATATAATTTTTATATTCAAAAATAATTTCATATTAAAAAATTTAAAAAACTTACCTAAATACTAAATAGGACTAAACATTAACTTTCTACCCTAAATACTCATAAGAGTATCAATTTATAATAAATTTTTTAGTTGATAATAAAATTGTAAAAGTAATAAAAAAAATTATAAAGTAATTATAGAATAAAAATTAAAAAATTGAAAGAAAAAAATTAAAATATAAAAAAAATAGTAAAAACCCATATAAAATTTAAAAAAATATGGATGTCTTTCCATATTTTTTATTACAAAAGTCATTTTTTGTAATAAAAAAATGCCATTTTTTAAACTTCAAGAAAATGATATTTTACTTTTTGAGGATGCCAAAATTTTCATCAATATGCTATTACTAATGCATGTTGGCATTTTAATTTTGGTGACTGAAGCTGGTGGTGCAGGGGTGACATAGGCGGCGGTGGTATGTATATATATATATATTATTAATTTTATTAAATTTTTATTTTAGTCCAAAAAGCTACACGAGTATATTTATCCCAACACACGTAATTAGTCTTACTAAGGAATTTAAAACAACATGATACTATTTTTTATTTTTGACTACTTTTTATTCTTAGTTAGATATATTGATTCACTCTAAGGTCTTGTTTGATAGTTACACGTTAAATCTTTACAAGTGAAATGATTGCATGCAAATTTAGGAAAACAAATAGTCTGCGTGTAAATTGGTGTAAAATAGATTACATCGTATGGTTAGAAATTTAATTTATTTTTAATTTGCACACAAAGGCACTGCAATGCTTTATAAAAAGCATGCAAAATATTTTATCACCCTTACCCAGGTAAAATACTCTACATGGTACAATACAAAATGTTTTTAAAAAATGTCATACAATTTACATTAAATAATCAAGTCAAACAGTGTAAACCTTTTACGTCCTTACACTTCACATGCAAAGTAATTATTTTATGAGATAATTCCCTAAATGGGACCAAATCATTACAAAAGTGCAAAATTAGGACTTACATGTTCCGTATAGTTTCATAGGAGTTAAAAGATATGAGCTGACACAATTACCCTTAATGAAAGGCCAAATACAATTTCTATTTTTAAAAAGAAATAAAAACTGACATTACTCGATCTGCACCACCACTATCCCAAACAAGCTGCCGCCTACACCGATTCCCACTACTATTCGTCGCCGCTTTAAGTTGCCACCACCGACATAAATTTCCACGGTCGCCGCCGTCACCGCCGTTGCTGCTTGATGCCACCGCCGCCGCTGCACCGCCGCTGTTGCTTGATGCCTCCGCCGCTGGTTGCCAAATATCTCCATTGCCGCCGCCGCTTCCAGCCTCTCCACCACAACCTCATCCAGCGGCACCGCCGTCTTCATCCAGCGCTGCTTGAGTTTGCATCACCTCCTCCGGCGAGATTGATGTCGATCTAATTACAATGATTCCAAAAACACAAAAATAGATTAATAGTGTCATCTTAAAGACTTATCAATTAATGACATATTATCCTCCATGTCATGGCACTAATTATCAAAAACATGACATTATAGCTTTTTTATGGCATTAATTACCAAAAACATGACATTTTATTGCCATCTAAAAATAGCATCATAGGAAAAAAAATTAGCTTTTTATGGCATTAATTAACAAAAGCATGACTTTTTATTGCCATCTAAAAATGGCATTATAAGAAAAAATTTAATCTATTTTTTTTAAAAAAATAGCAAATCGAAATAGTATTTAAAATAGATCTAAAATCTTGATGTAAGTAATTTTTGAAGTTTCACAATTTTCAATCCAAAAGTTGCGTATCCAAAATAGCATAACTTTCATTTTGAATCTCTAACTTAAACATTTGAAGTAATAGAAAATAGCAAAAATTTTAAAAGAAAAAACTTGAAAAAAAAAACAGAGGAGTGAGGATGGAGAAGAAGAAGAAGAAGAAGATGGAAGATGGAGGAGAAGAACATGGAGGAGGAAGATAATACTTACCAAAAACCGGCATATCGCCGGAGATATGGCGAATTGCTTCCACGGAACTTCCGGCCGGCACCACACCACCGTAGTGAACTACTTTCTGCCCTCCATGGATCATAACAGCTCCACTGTTGCAAGATCCACAATTTCTGATTAGGCCGCCGTAGAATGAGAGATTGGCTTTCGGATTTGAAATACTCAAGAAAGAGATTAAAGAAGATAGTGGACATGGTCTGTACGTATGACAGAAGGAAAAGATGGGCTTTGTGCGTGACAGCTGGGTTGCGTGTGACAGCCGGAAGAATCTGTCAATACATGTGCGAAGGGCAAATTCGGAAAAAAGAACGGCAGCCAAATTAAAAGGTCCTATTTAGGTACTAAATCAATAAGAACTCCTATTTTGGAACATTTTTATTATTTTACTCCTATTTAGGGTAATAACTTTTATTTTATATCTTACCAAAAAAACCTAAACTGATTATCTTTCACACACAAAAGTCAATTTAGCAAATTTTATAGTACTACCTCCGTTCTTAAATAAGTGCAACATACCAAATTTTACACTATTCACGTGTTCTACTTTGACTACATTTTATTTATTGATGTATTAATAAATATTTTTGAAGAAAATATTACTAAATTTGTCTCATTGTAAATTTTCAAAATCTGATTTTTTTAATTTTTTTACTAATAGAGAGTTGTGTATATTAATGGTCAAAATTGTGTCTCGACAAATGTGAAATGTTGACCGTTGCACTTATTTAAGAACGGAGGAAGTATCATTTATTCATTTTTTTCACTAAATTGGTTTGAATGACCCACTAAGCGACCATCATATCAAATTCTAGTGACGTGATCAACAAAGTCGTCCAACTCCATACGACTTACGCCGCCTTCCCCTGCCGCCTTCTTCAACGCGCAACCGTACTCCGCCGCCCTCGCTCTCATCCTCCTCCCTTCCTCCGACGCCATCAGCTTCTTCACCGCCTCTCCCACCGTCGAGGACGACACAATCTGGTCCCGGCGAGCCCAATCCTTAACCACAATCCCAATCTTCAGAAACCTCGTAATCAAGATTGTGTTCCTTGGCTGGTCGGAGTGCATCGGCCACGCCGCCATCGGAACTCCCATTGATATGCTCTCCATGCACGAGTTCCACCCGCAGTGGCTCAGGAACCCTCCGGTGGAAGGGTGGGCCAGGACCTCCAGCTGTGGGGCCCAATCCCGCACCACCAATCCCCTCTCCCTCACCCTGTCCTCGTACCCTTTGGGTAGCTCAATTTTGGCATTTTCTTTCGTAAAAATGTCAGCTTTATCGGAATCTCTCAACACCCAAATGAACCTCTGCCCGCTCTGCTCCAAACCCGCCGAGATTTCCCGGATTTGGTCGTCCGGGAATGAAGTGGACGTCCCAAACGACACGAAAATGACCGAGTTTTGCGGCTGGTTGTCGAGCCACATCAGGCATTTGTGGGCCCTTTTTGTAGTGCTGACATGGACAAGGTTAAAAGGGCCGAGTGCCCAGTGTTTCTTGTTTCCCGGGTCTTCCCGGGAAAGAAGATCGAGAAACGGGTCTTCTAGAACCCGACACGTGTTGTAAATCCGCCCCGAGTTGAACTTCAAGAACTCGTACTGAGTGCTGATGAAAGCTTCGAACTCGGGGCTGAAACAGCCCTCGACCGGAGAAAGATCTCCGATAACGTCGTCGTCGATGGCGAAAGGCTTCCCCGCCTTCTGCCAAATGAAATGGAAGATTGCAAAAGCGGAGACACTGTGGAATATGTATGACTCGGCGTTGGGTATCACCGCCGCGTCTTGGACCACCGACCCCATTAGCGAGTCGTGGATCACGATCACTCGGGTGTTTTCCCCGGCGAGTGCGCGGAGGAGGTTTCTCACCGGGTTGCGGAGGAAGGACACTCGATTGAAGGACTCGAGAAAGTGCGCGGGGAATGCTGAGATTGCCCGCGCCGGAGAGGCGGGTTTTGACGGAGTGGGAGATTCGACGGCTCCGTCATCCGGGAATTCGTGGAAGTGGATGTTGTCGGCGGAGAGAGGGTTCCAGCCGTGGACTCGCAACCGAGCCTGGCGGTTGTGGGTGGCGGTTCCGACGAAGTGGACGGGAATGTGGTAAGATGAAATAAGGCGTGATAGTTGAAGGAGTTGGTTGAGATGGCCTTGAGCGGGAAATGGGACCATGACAACCGCCACTTTGGCGCCACCACCTCCTGCCGGAAGGACATGGATTTCTGGAGCCATATATATCAAGGGAGACTTCTAGGTAAATTATAACCGGATGGGATATGGTTTTATAATGAGAAAATCTGAAAATTGATTAATACGTAGTACGTAGTATAATTAAAAATTTGAACAAAATCCAATAATAATACTTCTGAACAAAAATGTGATTTAGTGACTCTTAATGACGATGTATTAAAAGTGTACATGGATGTAACTTAAAATTTTGTTAGTCTCTAAAAATTCACTAAAAACTTTGTCATCTTTTAATTTTGGGAAAAATAATAAAAATACCTCAAACTTTGAAGGGATGTGAGGTAACACCTCAAACTTGCATTTGTAATTTAAATAGCTCAAACTTTATATAAAGTGTTGTTTTTGCACAATTTTCATGTATTATTTCGTTCGAAATGTAAATTTATGTGGTTAATTGCCTAATTTAAAATAAAAAAGTAAAAGTGTTGCAATTATATAAATTGGGGGTAATGTTATTTATTTCGCAACGAAAGTTTAGAATGCTAATTGTGCATTCATGCATTCTAAAATATTTTAAATTATGCAATTAACACTATAAATTTACATTTTTGGAAGAAGTAATACTTAACTATGGTGCTAAAATAACTTTTTATTTAAAGTTTGGGGTATTTAAATTACATATGCAAGTTTGGGGTGCTCATCTCACACCCCTTCAAAGTTCGGGTTATTTTAATTATTTTCCCCTTTAATTTTTGGTTAATCATGTTCAACTTTGACTCACTATATATTTTTATAGGAAATTATTTATAATATAAAAATGATACGACATAGTATAAACTACGTAGTATCTTTGTTAAGAGCACGTTCATATAAGTACTTAAATTTATAACCTTCATAACAATATACAAATCAAAATCATGATCCAAAAATGACTAGTATTGACTTGAAAAAGGCTAGTATGAGTCTTTCCTTATAGGACTCCGTGTTTTATTTTTTCTTATCAAAACATAAAGGGAAAATGGAAATTAATAATTCAACCTTTTAGCGGTCTTCTTACAATAATCCAACCTTTTGGTTATTCATGAATAATCCAACCTTTGCACCTCATCTTCATTCACTGGTCCCTGACCGGTTGATGACCTGCTATTCCAAGCTATTTTCTTATCTTTTCAAATCATTATACCATAAATATCATCTTTCACAAAGATAATATTTTGCAAAGATAAGAAATTAACTTGGAATAGTAGGTCATTACCCGACCAGGGACCAATGAATGAAGATGAGGTGCAAAGGTTGGATTATTCATGAATAATCAAAAGGTGGGATTATTGAAAGAAGACTCTTAAAAGGTTGGATTATTAGTTTCCATTTTCCCAAACATAAACAAAACATTACATTATTTCCACCCTAATACGAGCATTTAGAACTTGAAACACAAGTCTAGAAAAGATTAAAATCAGAAGTCAACTTCCCTACTAATTAACGGCAAGTAGGGTTGTATACGAATTGATGGAGTATATGGCCCAGGAACCCCCGGCCCATGGGCCATGGACTCCTATTTCTCTATCACATGCCCAACAAGCCCAAGAAGCGCAGGAGGCCCAAGATACAGCGGCCCAAGCTCAAAGTGGCCCACGGAACGCCCAGGGTAGCCTTCGGCAATATGGCTGAAGGCTCCAAAACTCACAGAACAGTCATATTTGAGCATCTGAAGCTACTGGGAGAAAATGGCAGAAAACAGGAGCCTTCGGCATTAGTTGAGCCCTCGGCATCAGAGGAGCCTTCGACTGAACCAAGCCCTCGGCTGAGTGAAGAGCCCTCGGCTAACAGACTCAATCATCGAAGATTCCCTTTGGAGACAGCCAACCACCGCATTTAATGCGACGTCACATCCACCCGCCGCATTTAATGCGGTGCACATGCGAGTGCCGGTGGCACCTCGATTGAGGTGACCCCTCGGCCGTTAGATTACTGACACGTGTACTCTCATCACATTTATTGCTGCTATAAACAGCAGCCCTTATTCCTCTTGTAAAGGACCAGAACATCTCGAGTTCATTGATACAATCGCCTCTCTCTCCTACTTGTTTGCTCTGACTTCTCTCTAGGTTATTCACATAATAACCCGCCCAGATAAGCTACCCTCCGGTACACTGTCCATCACGAATCAAATAATTTATACTCGGTTTGTGATTCGAATTCGTATAAGACGATTCGAATTCGAAAAATTCAAATACAAATACAAATAAGAATCCTAAATTTGATTCGAATAGTTATCAAATACAAATACGAATATCAGTATATTCGATTCGAATTTAATCAAATATATTCGATTAATAATAGTGATGATATTAATAATAATAGTAGTAATAACACTATAATAACTTTTAAAAGCTACTATATCCTTTAAGTGTGGCCCATATATACATTTATGTAATAAATCACAAGTATCATAATAAGAAGTAAGAGTTGTAAACGAAACAAAAAAATTAATGCGATTTGTGATTCGGATTCATAAATTATGATTTAAATTTGAAAATATATACGCGTAATATAAATACGAATACAAATCATATTTTTTGTTCAAACATCTTTCAAATATGAGTACAAATATTTATGTATTTGATTTGAATAATAATCAAATATGTATTCGTTTATACATAAACAATACTTCGTATGTGTGTGCGCATCAACTACCCACTATATGTGCGTGTAGTATAAACTACTATGTATATTTCTAATGATATTTTTTATTATCAACAATGCTAAATAACTTTGAGTATATTTATGTATAGTAATCATAAATAAATTTGATTCACTTTAGTATTTAGTATATTGTGACAACCTAAAAATGCATCCTCCATTAAATTTCAAAGAAAATGTAATGTTACAAATTAAATTCTAAAAACACATATTAAGTCAAAGCACACATTTATAACATAAGAAATATAGGAAATATTGTTTTAAAGTGATATTTGACTAATATTTAACTTATGATCAAATCAATTCAATATTCATATATGATTCATTAATTATTCGTATTGTTAAACAAATACAAATCGAAATTAATTTTCGTTTCATATTTTTTTTCGGATTCGGAAAAAAATAAACAAACACAAATACAAAATCACAATATTTGACTCGAATTTGTTTGTTTATTACAACCCTAACGGCAAGTTGATTCTCGCACTATTTTTTCGACCCCAAAAAAATCAAACCAATTTGTATTCCTCAACAGTTTTTTTTAAACTCTCAGTGACCAAATTTGATGACTAAATATGAACCCAATTAATTTGGCGTAGAAGTTAACAGAGTTCTATCTAATTACACGTAACTGGAGTACGTTCAGGATGACCTTTATCCTCCATGCCATAAGTCACTGTGCTCCCTGAGACTTGGGGTTCAGCCATTAAAAAAATTAGGTCTCGTGTTTTTATGGATTAAAGATTTTTTATTTTTGTGGGTATGAAATTAACGCGTGAAACCAAAGCTTTGCCGCCTTTGCGGATTAGCTCTCTCTGTAATTCAAAAACTGTATCACAATTTTGTGTTATGATTAATCATATATGCACTTCTATATTGAAGAAATAAAATTAATTCTCATCAAAGTATTTGATACTTTTGTATAATTCAAGTATTTAATTGATAAATTTACATGCAAATTTAATCATAGCACTAAGCCATGCATGTGCTCTTAAGATTTCTAAATTTCTATTTCAGCGTATTATGTGAATAATTAATTATAATACGGAAAATGGGCAAATAAGCCCTCCAACTAACCAAAAAAGTGCAAATCACCCCTTATATAGAAAGTCTTGTTCGGCCGTCACCATTTGGGCGGTTCCCGGTAGAATTTTTTGATAAAATGTTTTGTGTATCTTCTTCATTATAAGTCTAGTTTACTCATACCAAATTTCAGCTAAAACTAAAACCGAGAAGGTAGTCAAATTATTTTCTGAAATATACTCATGCGCTGTTTAACTGCGCAGTTATCTTCAAAAATTCATTTGAATGCCTTCCCGATTGCATTTTGTATCTGAAATTTGGTATGACTAAACTAGACTTAATAAAGAAGATGCTAAAAAAATCATCGAAAAATTCCACCGGGAACCTCCCCAAATGACGACGACTGAACAGAGTCTCCTATATAAGAGGTGATTTGCATGTTTCTGGTTAGTTTGAGGGCTTAGAGCATCTCCAATGGGCATGTGGGTTGTATAGCTAAAAAATGGACACGTGATATGGTGTGGAGGGATGTGAGGATGACATGGATTAATAGATGGTGACAACTCCGGTACGCTTCTAAAAAGTAGGGTACCATATCTACCATTCATTTGATTGGACCACACCACTTTATCATTTTTAAATTAGATTTAATCATTTAAATAATTCAACTGCTACATTCTGATTGGTCCATGTGGACAAAGGTATGGTACCTTATGAGTACCACAAATCTACCTTTTTTTAATATCCACCTCAGCAACGCACATCGTAAAGAAATTTGCTTTGGAGAGCATATTTTTACACCATCGCCCATTTTATATATGTGGCAATGCATTTTTAAGAATCCACACTACCATTAAAGATGCTCTTATTTGCCCCTTTTAATTTCCCTTATAATGGATGAGACATTTTAATTCCACTGTTGCATTTTTAGAACTACAATAATGGATTATTTAATTCATCCAATTTGTGAAGATTTCCTGTATTAATTAAATGCTTTACCATAGTAATTATTTGTAACATTGTAAGACTGAGGTACTCTCTATATATGCTCCTCCTCTTTGACCACTTGATGTGAAAATCTACCAGTTTAATTTGCAACACAAGTTTAACTTTTCCACAAGTTTAACTTTCTGGAATTGAATGACTAAATACTTAATCCTATTTCATCTATTCATACTTGCTCAAGTGATAGAAAAATGATTGAATGCAAAGTTTAAGAAAATAATTGATCACTTTGTATATACTACCTCCGTCCCATAAAATTCTTCCCACTTTCCTTTTTGGGCCGTCCCAAAAAATTCTTCTCACTTTCCCTTTTTGGACAATTTGTGTGGTTCACATTCATTTCACCTTTTTCTTACACAACCACAACCACACATTTCCACTTTATTCCACTTTCTTAATCTCCATGCCAAGTCAAAGTGAGAAGAATTTTCTGGGACGGGGGGAGTAAAATAGGTTACATTGTTTAGTTAGATGTGCAATTATTTTTAAATTGCACGCAAAGTCATTGTAATATTTTATAAAAAGCATGCAAAATATAACATAAAATACTTTATATGATCCTATGGTGCGAAATATTTTAAAAAATTGTCATATAATTTACATTAACAATCAAACTAAAGATAAATTTTTTTGACCCATTTAATGCAATGATGACTATGAACAGTAATGCATGAATTTACCCAATTCTTTCCGTTTCTAAAACAGGTTCGTTCACCCGTTCACCCATGTGTAAAACAATCATTTTTTAAATCTGGAAAAGGAATGCGCCGAAAGCCATAAATCATTCAATCTGGAGGTGAAAATTCCAAGGCTAAATGCGCATTTACAGCTCGAAAGTGTGATCTATTTTGACAAAACAAAGCTATGACTATTTTTAAATTGAGAAGAAAGTTTAGAGAAGATTAAAATAAGAACCAGCTGATCCACCAAACACGAGCACACGACTCTATTTCTCACGGAGAGTCACCTTTCACGTACAGTGGAACACCCGATGTGCAGGGATAAGTGTCCCATGCTCCCATCTTCCTGTCACGAAAATCACCTTTAATTTACTACCTTTGTCCCCCTAAGTTTGGGACAAAAAAGGTGACACGGTTATTAATAAAAGTGAGTTTTTGTGGTTGATATTAAATTGATAAAGTAATAATAAAGTAAGAATGATTTAGAACCACACAAATTTTACCAAATAAGGTATGGGACAATCTTAGTGGGACGGACCGAAAAGGTAAAATGGGACAATCATAGCGGGACGGAGGGAGTAGTACTTAGGTTATAGAGTTATTATAGTATCTCTTCGATCATATTTTTGTCTTTAAAAATGTAGAGGTAATATGTATGTAAACTTTTCTTCATTCAATCAAATTATCCATTATAATGAGGTTGCCTTATTATATGTTTCACTTATCCCTTTGATACTATAACATAGTGGCCAATAATTACTCATATTCAATAAACGAGTGCTATTTTTCAAAACCTATGGCTAAAAATAAGGCTATGTTCTAATTACTCACATGTTCAAATTATATCGCAGAGAACAGGGGCGGAGCCAGAATATGATAGGGGCCGGGTGAAATAAAAAAGAATGAGATTTAAAATATACATAAAATATACATTAAATGATGAATCAGTATTCATCTGAAATATTCAAAAGTACATGATTAAACACCGTGTAGGATAAAATTTAAAACGTTGCATGACTACATCTATCTTGCATGTCACGAAAATCATCGATAAAAGAATCCACGCTAGACTTTTTGGCATTTTTTTTGTGTAAGACAATAAATACTAGCAAATATCTAAAAATAAAAAAGATAAACAACTTAACTAAGTATACTGGACTTACTAGTCAATAAAGAATTAGTAATAAACTTCGGAAACTATTTTCAATAGTAAATAAAAGGTAAAAGGCAAAAAATGTAGGGTATGTTTGGCACAACTAGCTGAAAAGATACTTTTGTGAGCTTTTTAGTAACTGTTAGCTTTTAGTGACTGAAAAGATCTTATAAAGAAAATGTGGTAGCTATTTAGCTTTTAATTTAATACTAAAAGTCACGGGCTTTTCTCAGATGCTACCCCCTGTAGCATCTCAAAAAAGATCTTCTAATTTTTGAAAAGCTATTAACAGTACAAAAGCTAGAAGACAGAGACTTATATCTGCCAAACATGTTCGTAATACTCTACCTCTATTCTAATAGGTCTTGTGGATGCATCTATTCTACCTCTATTCTAATTAATATACTTGACTTTTGGGCCTTAAATTTGCTTCCATATTAAAGTGGGGCTTTAGGGACCAAGTAACAACAACATATTGTACTAACTACTAGAAGGACTAATATGA